AGACGCATTCATGAACTTCGATCGAGAGTAAATGGGCGAGTTCACGTGTCCTATTAGCCAATTCACACATTGGATACCGCGGACATGTTCGCTTATGAAAAAAATCGCCTTGTTGTCTAAAGTGCTTAAAGTAAGGGCCGAGAGTTCCGTGAGGCTAAGTACCTAGGCAGGTCGCGGAATAATCAGCATATGTAGTCAAATCATCCGCTTCAAATAATCGAAATAAACTGTACGAAATGAAAAGAAGTCAAAACAGGCTGGTAGCACACTGCAAGGGTCTACGGGTACAAAGTCCAAACAATTGTTGACTATATGGCTTCATTTAGCTGTCACATGCCTTCTCGCTACGCATACGAAAATTGGCCGAATAACGGTTCTTCCTCAAGCGTCTGCATATACTCCGGGAAAAGTGCCGAAAACTGGCAAATAAGACTGGAATCATCATTAGCCTCTGATAAGCCCTCTTCATTCAGCCTTAGACAAACGGTATTTTTTGCCACACGTTAGACTCGAATCCGCTTTCTTCAGTCAGTGAACATCAAATATCTTCAGTTTATGTTGCCTACTAGGCCACCCACCGAGTCTGATACGATACACGAGATTGCGACGACGTTGGCTAAGGTGTACCCATTTTCTATTCTGGCGTAGGCTGGAATTAACACTTAAGTTCATTCAGTGGAGGATTTTTCGAACGTTAGGAGCCGTAAGCAGCAGCATAAACCGTGCTGGCGCCATTTAGAAAGGCATAGAATGCTTATATCTCATATTAAGCAACAATTCAAACGACGAGATCCAATTGAACCTGGACGTAGTTTAAACAGTTATAGTTAGGAATGTCGAAAGGGCAAAATTATGAATATATTTGAGGAATATCATTTATTGGAACCCTTATAGAACAGATTTATGAACGTGTTGGTCACGAGAAACATTAGGATAAGAAATGTCGTTAGGCAATTGTTGTCACTTCGGTAATAAAAAGTGGCATGAAAGCAACAGTGTTGAGTGCAATCAGATGAATTGTCACCTTGAAAGCTGCGTGAAGAATTCGAAAAAGATGTCCTTTAAAAAAAGTATTTTGCCGGATGGGTCACAAGGAAAATTAAGCAGAATTATAGACTGTTCAAGCATCACGGCAGCAAGAACGAGTTATCCCGTCAGTTGAAAACCTTCCGCGTAATTCAAAAAATATCACACCGCCAAAGGTTCGAAACTTTTGGTCTTATTGGCGCAATGAAAGCACTAATTTCGTTTTTCATCAGCATCTACATTAAAATTTCCCCTTGACTGAGCTTTCTGAATGAATTAGATTGACTCGGATCCAGGCTCTGAAATATTCTTAATTCCGTTCCATAACGCGCTACACACATTTGTGTTAATAGTTAGAAGGCATCACCGGCCCAGTACAGTCCAACAAACGGTTAACACAGTGAAAGGCGATCATGAATATTGTGAGTTTAAGATTACTGATTACCCCATGGAATTTCGACAGTCCTATGTGTCGGCGCATGACGCCTGCCGCACGGAGTAGACACGGAAGTGAATAACTGCACGGGAATAACTTTATGATATGACGGACTTGCGAAGCATCCGCCACACATACTCGCCGCTAACACACATTACAACAATAGTTAGACAGTGTCAGGATGGCCAGTAGTGGACAGGAACGCTGTGAAAAAAAATGCAAAAGCATACCCGTACTTACAGTACGCAGGTCCTTGTTCCCACTGCGTCTACATGGGTACCATAAGGGCGAACTCGAGAGAGGGGCCGCGCTAATAGTCAGATTGAGAGAAACCGGACTTTCCTATCAACACGCAGTTCTCTCAATCCTTTCCATGGCGTCGAATATAAGTACAGTAGATGCGCTAACTCATAAATAGTCAACCAAAATTTCGAAATGCGTTCTCGTTTCGAAAAGATAAATTAAGTAGTGCTGTAAAAATAATCATGATGCAGCATAAATCTATAATGATCAAATTACCGCAATGTGTCTGCTTTCGAAAGAATTTATTTTCGGCTGCATGCAAGATCTATATTCTGCAACAGATGACTACTTAAGTAGCATGCAATTTTCTCATTGATTTTTGATGCCCTTGAAAATTCAATTATATTTCATAAGAAACATGCATAAAAATATTCATTCTTTTACTTATTCGGTAGGAATGCACGTCTTTTTCTAATTTCATACTTAAAAAGCGTATAATTCGGTTTTAAAAACTTTCTAATTGTGAGATTTTTTAGTAACGTTAAATGGCCGTTCATGAATCGTCATGAATCTGCATCTACGGATGTGGCTTGTAAAGTTAACAATATTGCTCAAATCCACTGCTTAATTTTATAAACCCCATATGGTCTCCTCTTAACAGCGTACAGGAATGAATGGTTTTCCGTACACGAAAAATATACAGTTTGTTGTTTTGAAACCCTGAATGCAACATTAACTGCAGGTCGGGTTCAAAATTATTCAGGAATTAGAAAAGTTTTTAACACTGAATAATACTCTTCTTTTGAGTATGAAATTGAAAGAAGACGTGATTTTCTGCCGAATAAGTAAAACAATGAATATTTATGTGCATGTTTTTCATGAAATATAAATAAATTTTCAAGGTTATCAAAAATCAATGAGAAAATTGCATACTGCTTACGTAGTCATATTTTACAGAGTACGGATCTTGCATGCAGCCGAAAATAAGTTCTTTCGAAAGCCGACAGCCTGAGGTTATTGGTTTAGTATAGATTTATGCTGCATCATGATTATTTTTACAACACTACTTAATTTATCTTTTCGAAGCGAGAACGCATTTCGAAATTTTGGTTGAAATTTCATGAGTTAGCACATTTACTGTACCTAACCATTTGC